TCCAGTTTTCGTAGATTTACCCTGATTCAGTTCTCGCAAGTGTACCTTGGTTCCACAAAGTTTCTAATACTTAGGAGGGGTCTTTTTTTCCAAATAGTTTTCATATTATCAATTGTTTTATTTGTTTTCTTTCAAGGCAAATGTACCCTGATTCCGAAGATTCTTGATACCTAGGAAATGTCACTTTGCCAAGAATAAAATGGCCTGAACATGATGAAATGATATTGCATGGAAACTCCTCATTGTCTTAATCCCCTTCCCTCGTCTAGCCCCTCTTCTAAGCCTACCCTTCCCAAAAATCTCTGTGCTTCTTTTGGTCTTTGTTGTTTTGTAGTTTCCTACCTTACAACAAAGAGAGGTAGCTATCAACACCCAGTTTTTGCTTGGTTCACCACCTAAACCTGATTTCACTCCAAATTCCCAACCAGACCCTTTCCATCCTTCCGAAACACCCAAAAACCCCAAAATCCCAACTTTCAGCCCCAAAGCCTCCAAATCTACCGTTAAACCTGCTTGATACCTATTTGATGGCCCCAATCAACCCCCACTTACACCTCAACCATTAGATCAAACACAACCATCAGACCCAGGACCTCCCAAAATACCTCTATCTACCCTCTACCTTACCAAGATTCCATTTCGTGCCCCTAGATTGACCAGATCTCAAATCTGCCTGATCTGGGCCTAGTTGGCCCAATCTAACCTTATAAATCACCTCAAATTGCCCAAAAAAAAACTTATCTTGTTTAATTTCACCCAAATTTGTCCTTGCTTGCCCCTTCCTTTGAAAAGATTCTAATCCAAGGTTCCAGATTAGTCGAATCAAGCCTTTTGAGGCCTGCTTGGTCCGGACCCAATTAGGCCAATTTGACCCCACTAGTCGACCTAGAACATCCAAAACCCCACCCCCTACCAAATTTACCAAAATACCCTTAACCAAATTACCAAAACACCCCACCTCATACCCTAAATTACCAAAATACCCCTCATTTGTCAAATCCTCAAATGCCCCTCATACCTTAAAATTCCAAAAACACCCCTTTATTTCAAATTCTCAAAATAACTTCATTGTGTCCAAATCCCCAAAATACCCTTTAAACCTAAAATTACAAAAATGCCTTTCACTCCAAATTACCATAAATTTCTAAATTACCCTTTGGACCCCAAGTATTGAACCCTCCTGTCTCTTTAAATCCTAACTTATCTAAAACCCCCTTTTGTTTTTGAGAACTGAAGGAACCTCCCCTTGCCCTCCATTATAAATAGAGGCACCATTCCCAAGAGAAAAGGGGAGAGAGTTTATTAAGGTGGCGTTTGATTGTACTATTCAGACGTCTGAAGTCTAAATTAGTTTGCTTTTTAGTGGCCATTTTCATAATCACGGATGGTTGAATGATAGCTGATACATATTAGTGGAGGAGAAGATGGGTATGTTTCTATTGTGTTTAAGCTATAATGAAAGGTTCTCTATTTTGAAGAGAAGATTCCAGCACTCCACCCAAACAGTGCATACATGCTTTTATCAAGTGATATCTGCTATGATGGAATTTGCACGAGCAATGATTCATTCAATTACATTTGACCCAAACCCAAACATCCCAAGGCACCATAAACGACTCTGGCAAGTATTCAAGGTAAATAATTGACAATATCACATAAGTTTCATAATCTTGATTGGTATAGGGGTTGAGATCAAAACTAGTTATTTTCTTTTGTTGTTAAAGGGTGTTGTTGGTGCTTTAGATGGAACACTTGTTCATGTTGTGGTACCACCGGAAAAACAACTAGTATACTGAGGAAGAGGAGGGAAAGAATGCTTCCAAAATGTGTTGGTTGTTTGTGATTTTAATATGGTGTTTACATATGTTTATGCTATTTGGGGAGGAACAACACATGATGCTAGGGTTTTACATGAGGTTGTATACAACCCTATCAACAATTTTCCATTTCCACTTGCTGGTAAGAATGGTGTTATATGGGTGTTCATTTTTTTTAATAAATTCATTTTTTGATAGATATATTTGATTGACACAGACAAGTACTATCTTTGTGATGTTGCATACGCAAATACAAGACACTTTATGGCACCTTATCAAAATGTGTGATATTGGGCAGCAGACTTTTGTCGTGAGCGTGCTGGGACGAAAGAAAAACGATTCAACCAGGCACATGCAAAGTTAAGAAATGTAATTGAGAGATCGTTTGGTGTTCTAAAAGCTCAGTTTCCAATTCTTAAACAAATGGCGCCTTTCAATCTCTATGTCCAATGGGACATAGTCATTGCATGTGTCGCTATCCACAACTATTTGAGAAGGGAATCAATAGTTGATACTCTTTTCGATGAATACGATGAATCTAATATGCAAGTAACTAATGAAAATGTAGAAGTAGAGACAAAATTATTAAATAGGAATATGCATTGAACTACTTATCGTTGATCCTAGTTATGTACTTGAACTATGTAGAATTGCTTGTTTGTTTGCAGTTTACTATTATGGTTATGTAGGTGAACAAACTTTTCTTTTATGTAAGGAAAATGGTTGTTAGGTGTTCTCCAATAATGTGTGCATGCGGGGCTAGATATATGGACCTTTACAAGGTTGGGACAAATGAAAATCACGAAAGAGTGTTGTTGCGTTGTCCAATGTGGGAAAAGCATACGCATTCCTTTTATTGGGTTGATGAACTGATTGTCGACCAAGTGATAGAGCTTAAGGAGTTCAATCAACCCACTTCATGGCTTGTAAAATATCCAAATACCGCAACCGCTCAAGGAAGAGATGGCACTTGGATGCACATGCATCTCTATTATGCAATGTCATCCAGTTTATTATTATTGTCATTTTAATTTTTTTGTTTATTGTTGTTGTTGCAGTTGCATTGGGTAGTTATGGGACATATGAACAAATGTTAGTGGTTAGGATAAATATATGTATGATGTACGGGCATGTAGATGATGACAATCGCTTTATTATGTGTAAACCTATGTTTTGTAGTAAATGTTCTGTAACTTTTAATTTTTTATTATCTTTTATTTGTATTTTTTTGTTGAAGATTTTTTAATTAATTATAATAATTACCCATCCATTGAGGGAAGCGGAGCAGGCCTACTACGGACTAAGTCGTAACAACGAAATAGAAGACCTACTCTATTCAATTTTGAGTTTGGATCTTTCCGTTCCGGTCGAAAACAGACYGCAGGTGGATCTAAGAATTGTTCCAATGGTATAGTAATGTCGACGGAGGCTTTTGCATACCAACAGTAATACTCACAACAAGAAAGCACCCAATATCTGAGCATTAATTTCTCGGTGAGAAAACCGGCATCCTCTGACAGCTTATCGGAGAGATCAACTACAACTCTCTGTAGATATATTACTATAAGCTATTATGTATTTAATTATTTTTATTCATGTTAGTTCAATATTATTAGTTATTAATTAGTAACTATTAAGTTTTATTTGATTATTTTAATTTTTATTAAATTTTAATTTGTTGTTGAAGATTTTTTTAATCAATATTATTAATTATTAATTAGTAACCATTGATTTTTATTAAATTTTATTCATTTTATTATTTTTAATAGTAAGTAATTAATTTTATTACTTTAATTATGTTATTTATTAGATATTAATTATTTTTTCATAATTATTATGTATTTATTTATTTTTTATTTGCATTAGTTCAATATTATTATAACTAATAATTTTTATTATTTTATTGTTTTCTAATAGTGAGTAATTATTTTTTATTATTTTTTATTATTTTAGTTATGTTATTTATTATTTATTAATTATTTTTGTAATTATTATGTATTTAATTATTTTCTATTCACGTTAGTTCAATATTATTATAACTATTAATTTTTATTAAATTTTAATCATTTTATTATGTTTTTAATAGTGAGTAATTATTTTTTATTATTTTAATTAGGTTAATTATTTATTATTTATCATAATTATTATGTATTTAATTATTTTTTATTCGTGTTAGTTCAATATTATTATAACCATTAATTTTTATTAAGTTTTAATCATTTTATTATTTTTTAATAGTGAGTAATTATTTTTTATTAATTTAATTACATTATTTATTAATTATTAATTATTTTTTTGTAATTGTTATGTATTTAATTATTTTTTTATTTGTGTTAGTTCAATGTTATTATAACCATTAATTTTTATTAAATTTTAATCATTTTATTATTTTTAATAAGGAGTAATTATTTTTTATTAATTTAATTATTTTATTTATTAATTATTAATTATTAATTATTTATCGTAATTGTTATGTATTTAATTATTTTTTTTATTCATGTTAGTTCAATATTATTGTAACCATTAATTTTTATTAAATTTTAATCATTTCATTACTTTTAATAGTGAATAATTATTTTTTATTAATTATTAATTTTTTTCTTAATTATTATATATTTTATTATTTTTTTGTATGATTTTAATATTATTTTGAATTTAATAAATTATTTTATTTGAAATAGTATAAATTCAGCTTAAATTTACCAAATTGTCTATTGTAGGGGTAAAATAATAAAAACAAAGCATTTCAAATGTTAAAAGTTTGTTCCGTATTCAGAGCTTCTATAAAATAGAAAAATTGTAGGGTTTCTAGCATATGGGGGCAATTTTTTATCTTCCTCCTAGAGACTCTGTATTCAGTGAATGAAACTTGAACGATGAGAGAAACCCAATGAAAAACAACTGTTAAGAAAATTTCTTGAGCTCGACCAACTAATTTTACCCAACAAATTTGCTTTATTTTATTATGACTGGTCTCAGACCAGTTTTGAATCTTGAGCCTGGAGTCTTGACTCCTGAACTACATCAACGTGGTTATTGAACCAGAACCAAATAGACATTTTTTCGGTGGAACAAACCAACTGGACTCGCCAAGTGGGTAAATCTGTCAGAACCAGGTATTGCCATTTGCCACTCCCCTCTCCTGAACCTGGATGTTACCCTCTCTCATTCGCTATACTCAAATGCACTTGTGCTAGAGCCAACAAGAGATATGCTTGTCGAAGCTTGGAGCGGCTAATCATTCTTTCCAGTTTTGTTGACGAAGCAGGGAACACGAGAGCATGTATCTTGCTGGCAGAGAGGGGAGATTGAAACCTAGCAGGCTTAGTTGCAAAAGGTTGCTTTCTTGGTTGGCATGCAAGAGTTTTTGGCAGTGGTGATGGACAAAGACTTTGGAGGGAGAAGAAGAGAAGAGGTTATCGACGGTGCTTTGTATCAGATGTTAAGGACAAGAGGAATGACAAGCAATTCACATGGCCGGCTTGTGTTGATTTTCATCTTGCCTTCAAAGGACAAAGGCCACATCCTTATCTTCATTTTCATTTCTCATTCCAGTATTGTCTGAATCGAATCTTCTACCTTTCTTTAAATTTGTGTTGGGCTTTTTGATTCTTCAACTGGGTCTCCTCTTCTTTCTGGTTTGATGGGTTTCTTTCGTTTCCTCCCCTCAACTTTGGTCCTCGGTTCTTCGGGTGTTTGCTTTACAGAGTTTATTGTACTTTAGAAACCTATCTATTGGTGTGCTGAGAAAATCCACTGATTGCAATTGTTTTTCTTCTAGAAAGCAGAAGCATTTTCTCAACCATACTACAAATGTAACTACCATTCGTCATAGTCAATTCTCGCCTGTTGGAGGAAAGAATGAAGAAAAGATATCGGTTGATAGTGCTACGAGTTTAAAATCAGAGAATTCCTGAAATTTGAAATACGAAAGAGGTGGAAAAGATCGTGAAGGCTCTAAAAAGACCGTTCGTATGAACACAGAGGAGATGAGCAACAGTACCCAACGGACGAGATGACTGTTGGATTTTAAACTAGTCTGAGACGCTTTCTGGATCATGCATCGACCGATTATCAGCGACGCTTTTTCGATCACCGAAGACGACAGTCAGAGGCATAGTCGAAGACGTGCCGGAGGCGGCAGCGGACGACTCTGATGATATTATTTTTTGATGAACAGTAATTTTGCTATTATCCTTTTTATGATATTATTTTGAAAAAGTTAATTTATTTTTAAAGTTTTATTAAATATATTATTCTTATTGATATTAGAGGTCAAAAGTTCCTTATCTTTTTAACTTTTCAAACTTCACTTCGCATTTCAGATGAAACGCCACGTAAGAGAATAGCGGCCGAAGGGAGAGGAGAAAGTTTCGAAAGAGGGAGAGAGTTTCGAGAGAGAGAAAATTGGGACTGAAGGAGAGGAGTTTGGAAGGGGGAAATCTCTAAGAGTTTTTCCTTCGAGCTGCCGAATTGAGAATTGGAGAGAAAGAGTTTCAGGAGAGACCGAGAGAGGGGCGAAAGAAAAATAGGAAGGCGAGAGAGAGTTTCAAGAGAAAGAGACTGAGAGAAGAGAGGAAGAAACTAATAAAATCTAATGAAAACTGAGAAAGAGAGGAAGAAAGTCTGACAGAGAGAGAAGAGCGGCGATTCAAAGCAAAATCCACGATCCCCATCTCCCTTCCGGGGCCATCATCCTTCGTCCGGCGGATCTTCGACTGGCTCTGCCGTCGACCTACCACAGCTCTGCCGTTGAAGTTTCAACCTACCACTTCTCTGCTGTCGACCTGCTCCCACTGCCACTACCGAACTGCCGAACTACGAGTTCCATATAATTCATCGAGCTCTCCGAACCCAAGCTTCGCTAGTCCTGCGAATACCGGCATCGTTGTTCCTTGTGAAGGTCACAAGAGGTAAATCTTCTACCTCACCCTTTTTTATTTTTTAGTCTTTTTCTGCTGGTTGAATAATAAAGTATGAATAATGTAGCTTTGATTTCTTTATTTAAGCTTAAGAATCGTGTATTATATGGCATTCGGAGAAGGAGGTTGTCTCACTCTCTCCACTCCTCAGACTTATCAACCGAGTCCGAAGGTGGGGATTCTGATAGAAAAGGGGTGGGGATTCTCACCCTTTTGCACAGGTCCCTGCGTCCAAAAGGGGTTGGTCTGAAGGAGAGGGAGGGGAATGCGTTTTCAATAACACCCTTCTAATTTGCTAGAAAATATGGATTCCCCATCCGCTGAGCTGCAGTATTTCTTTGTTTTAGAAATAAAATTAATTAAAAAAATCAGAGAAAGGAAATCCAGTATTCACACTGACCCACCTAACCCCTTCCCTCTCTCTTTCTCAACTTACCTAGAATGGCCTTGTCCTGGCTAAATGGTATGGAGTCACGATGTATTTTGTGAAATCCAATTCTACGAGGCCCATCACTCTCAGTTATGTATTCTGATGGGTGGCGACTCCGTAAATTCGGCCATGAAGTGAACTGCCAGAGAGGGATATTTTTTTGACGTTCGCATTTATGTTGAGTGGTCCTTTCTTATGAAGGTGACAATTGTACTAGTTTTCTTTAAAGTTAATGAAAATTACTGTTTCCTATAAAAAAATGAAAGTTAATACCTTAACTGTAAGACTTAATGAGAAGGGAATGAATGAGATGAAAAGTGGTAGCTCAAATTACATTTTTTGCCTCCAAGATTAGAGAATGACCAAATTCAGTAATAGGGGTGTTTTAGTCAAGAGCAGTATTCAATGTAATATAATAAGAGTTAATACTTTAAATGTAAGATGTAGTGAGAGGAAATTGAATGGGTGAAAAGTAGTAGTTCAAATTACCTTTCTTTACTTCATAGTTTGAGAGGAACCAAATTAAAAAAAGAGGTATTTTAGTCAAACAAAAGCTTCGCATTTTCATTCGTACTTTTAATAGTAGTATAGATTTTTATATGGGGTTTCTTTGTATAGATTTCCTTGTATCTTTGTATTTTCTTCTTTCCTTTCTTGAAGTTATTTGTGACTCTTGGAAGATAAGTGTGTTTGTCTTCCACTTGTAAATTTTCTACTGATGAATTAATGAAAGTGTTATTGATAAAAAAAAAAATTATAGTTCCTTAGATGTTTTTATGTTTTATTGTTTATGTAGCAATGGGTTCGAATGAGGTGGGCTTTGGAATGAAGGAATCTTCCAAGGTTGGGATTGGTAATGGAACTTATGGTGCTGTTGTACTTGGAGGAACTTTTGATCGATTGCATGATGGACATCGACATCTTTTGAAGGTAGTTCAAATGCTCCATTTTGCCTTCAAAAAGTTTGTAAATTGTTTGAATTCAATCAATTTGGGAACTATTTGTTTCTTAGATGCTGAGAAACTTGAAATGGTTTTGGACCTTTTGGTTAGGCATCAGCAGAGTTAGCCAAGGATCGGGTTGTGGTGGGAGTGTGTGACGGACCAATGCTGGTCAAGAAAGAGGTTGGGTTTTATATTTTGTAATTCATCTAATTTATGGTTTCACAATTGATAGTTCTTCAATAAAAGAGAAGTAAAAAAACAAATTATTTGTTTGCTTTCCTATAGCTGGCACACATGATCGAACCCTTTGAGATGCGGATGAAGGCTGTAAAGAACTACATAGAGGTAAAATTCAGGGAGATTTCTCAATATATTTTAACATTATTATTCATCTTAAATGGTAACCTGGAAAGCAGGTTATAAAGAACTACATGGGATGGCTGACTGCTTGGCTAAACAAGGGGTTTGTTGTGTGAGTAATCTGGTTGTTCAAGGGGCATTCTTGTCCCTTAAATTCTAATGAAAGGGGGTATTCCCAACTTCTTTTTTGGTTCCAAATCTTTCTCTTCGAATATTTCCTCTTCTCTCTTCTCTCTTTCCTTTCTTCTTTTTCTTTCATCCTTTTCTTTTATCCTTTCTTTCTGTAAACCTTCTTGGTATCATAGCTCTCCCTAGAGGAAGGTTCGATTCACAGGAGTATGGCAGACTGCTAACATCATTATTGCTGACTGTTGACATTAGCAAGCTGTACAGTTGACGTTTCTGTTGGGTGCTGGAAATCCTAGGATTTATTCAAGTATGATTTTAGACAGATTTTGGTGAAGGTTCCATACCAGTTGTCGTGGATTTCATATTTTTTAGGGTTTTTTCTTAGAAAATCGAAAAAACAGTCTTGCCTTTGAAATGATCTTTGGTGCTACTGATTTTTGTTTTTGAATATGTGATTCTTGTATTGTATGGTCTTTGTGATATTTCTGAACTCACCTAACCAAAAGTGGTTTCACTTGATCTGGTGGGATATTGAGCTTCTCGTAAGCTTTTTCCTTCCTCATATTTTTCACCCAAGCTCTGCTTGTATTTTATCTGCTTTTGTAGATTGGTGGTGGTTGTTGGAAGCCACTGTTGGTGTTTGTGTGGCGTGTGTGTTGGGAAGCTTCAATGACGAGTACGGAGGAGTTCAAAAGTAGTGATAGTTCTAAGGAGATATCTGAAAACTTGTTTGGACTTGGTGACAGTCCTAGTCTTGAACTTACCTTAGTCAAACTTGATGGAAATCAATTTTCTAGAATGCTCTCAATTCACAAAAAATTGCTAGGCATGGGAAGATGTGTTATCTAACTGGAGACGAGAAGAAGCCGTCTCTTGAAGATCCCATGTTCCCTAGATGGAAGCAGGAGGACCATACAATTATGATGTGGCTGGTAGGCTCTATGCAGCCACACATTGCTAGGAACTAAATGTTCCTGTCAATGACAAAAAAACATATGGGGTAGAGTTTATGCTACTTACTCCCAAGTTCACAATACTTCTAATGTTATTAGCTTTGTAGAGAAGCCAACAATCTTTGATGGGGAGAAATCAGTGGTATTATTTTTTTTTCTGCTCTTCAGTCACTATGGAAGGAAATTGATCATCTTGAGGAACTCGAGTGTAGAGATTCCTTTCATGGAGGGTAATGTAGGAAACACAATGAGAAGCTTAGGGTTTTTGAATTTTTGACTGGGCTGAATCCTAAATATGATTTTACATGATAATATATTCTTAGTAACAATGTTGTCACACTTTCAGCTGCTTACTCTTTGGTTCAAGGTGAAGAAAGTAGAAGGGAAGATATGATGCGATCTCATCCTATTGAATATCCAGCCATGGTGGTGTATTCTAAGCACAAGTTTAGTAGTAGTTCAACGGAGCTTCAAATCATTGACGGTGATGAGGTTGTGCATGATTATTGTAAGAGACCTAAACATACAAGGGATGGGTGTTGGAAATTACACCCTGAATTGAAACCAACAAAATTTAAAGGAGGCAAGAAAGGTGGTGCTCATGTTGCTACTAGTTCAAAGAGTTCAGCTACAATTCAACCTGTGGGTCCTAGCCATGGGGAATCTTTAACTGCTGTCAGGGCTAAAACAGATAAGCTCAGTCAACTTCTTTCCAGGTTGCAAAACAACAACAAAACTAGTACCACTGATCCTATTGGTGTTGGTCTTTTCACAGCTTTTGCTAAGTAAGGCAATTCTTCCTTTGCCTGTCATGCCACTACCACTTCACCTACTTTTTGGCTTATTGATTTGGGTGCTTTAGACCATATGACAGGTATTTTTACTTGTTCATTCTTATAATTTGTCCTCTAGAAGGGAGAATTCACTCTAGTGAATGGGTTCTATATCCCTATCTCTAGTGTAGGAGATATTGCCAAGAAGTTTGTGGATCATTTTAAATCGATTTATGGAAGACACTTGGATGAGAGGTTGGAAATGGAAGGGGTAGATTGGCCAAGATTGGATGAAGATCAGGTTAGGTGGCTGGAAAGAAATTTTGAGGAAGAAGAGATTAGGAAGGTAGTGTTCTTAATGGGTGGATCTAAAGCTCCATGCCTAGATGGTTTTACAATGGCCTTTTACCAAGATTGTTGGGAGGTGATAAAAAATGATCTTTATAAGGTTTTTAATGAGTTTGTAGATAAGCATATAGTCATCCACGGTATAAATGCTACTTTCTTGTGCTATCCATCCACGGTTAATTAGTTTGGTGACTAGTATTTGCAAAATCTTGGCCAAGGTCTTGTCTTTGAGGATTAAAGAAATCCTTTCCTTCATCATTTGTTAGGCCCAAGGGGCATTCATTCAAGGACGACAAATAATTAACCAGATCCTGATTGCCAACAAATGTGTGGAGGAGATGAAGAGGTCTAAGAAAAGAGACTTTTTCTGTAAGGTCAATCTTGAGAAAGCCTATGACTTGGTGGACTGGCAGTTCCTAGTAGAGGTTTTGAGGAAGTGTAGGTTTGGGAAAAGATGGTGTAGTTGGGTGTTTGGTTGTGTTAACTCTTGTCACTACTCCATCCTAGTAATGGGGTGGTAATTGGTAAGGGATTTTTTTCTAGCTAGTAGGGGTATTAGACAAGGGTTGATAGGGAATATGTGATAAGGGGATGGAGAATAGGCACAAACCGAATTCCAGTAACTCATCTTTAGTTTGTGGGTGACTTGATGATTTTCTATGATGGAGGCTATAGTGAGAAGGTGGGAAACTTGAAAGGGATGATTAGAGCCATCGAAGGAGTTTTCAATTTGAAAATCAATTTCGAAAAGAGCTGTATAGCCATAATCAATTTGGACTTTAAGGAGGTTGAGGCTGTTGTAGATTGTCTTGATTTCTCCATTTCTTCCTGGTCTATGTCCTATTTAGGGTTTTGTTAGGGGCAAACCCTAGGGAGAGTAATTTTGGACCCCAGTCATAGAGAAGCTTGAAAAGAGATTATCTTTGTGGAAGAAAAATTATCTCATTTGGTGGGAGGATTACCTTGACAAGAGCTATCCTCACGAACCTACCTACTTACTACCTCTCTATCTTTAGGATACCGCTCAAGGAAGTGAAGAAACTTGAAAAGTGATGAGAGATTTTCTTTGGGAACCGGGAGAAGGTGAAAAAGACCAATTAATTAGTTGGGAGGTTGTAGGTAGAAGCAAAGAGGAAGGAGGATTAGGGCTAGGGAATGTGCTTAAAAGGAATTCAGGTTTTTTAGGGAAGTGGTTGTTGCAGTGGCCTTTGGAGCGAGATAGGCTTTGGCACAAAGTGGTGAAGAGTATTCATAGATGCTCAGAGAGTGGATGGGGATGATGGTTGCATCAAGGAGGCGATGGACAGACCTAAAGCACTAGGGCTTGGATGGTTTACTATGGCTTTCTATCAAGATTGTTGGGAGATTCTAAACCAGGATATTATGAAAGTGTTTGATGAATTTTTTGGGAGGGGTGATAAATTCGGGATTGAACTCTACATTTATTGCTCTAGTCCCAAAGAAAGCTGGAGCTTGTCAACCAAGAGATTTTAGACCTATCAGTCTAGTGAATAGCTTGTATAAGGTTGTGGCTTAGGTCTTGTCTTGAAGAATTAGGGAGGTACTACAAAGCATAGTCTCACAAAATCAAGGGGCTTTTGTGGGTAAGAGGTAGATTGTTGATCAAATTTTAATTGCAAATGGATGTGTGGAGGAGATGAAAGAAAGGGATTATTTGCAAGATGGATCTGGAGAAAGCTTATGATATGGTTTATTGGTCCTTCTTAATGCAAGTGATGGAGTGCTTTGGATTTGGGGTGAAATGGTGTAAGTGGATCTTAGGGTGTCTTGAGAGTTGTCACTATTCCATATTGGTGAATGGGACAGTTGTGGATCACTTTCCAGCTCTTAGGGGAATTAGACAAGGTGACCCTTTCTCTCCCTTCCTCTTTACCTTGATTGCAAATGTGTTGGGGAGACTAATAGAAAAGGCAGACTCCAAGAATCTAGTGAAGGGTTGGAAGGTTGGAAGAGATGGAATACCTATCACTCACTTGCAATTTGCTAATGATACAATTTTGTTTTGTGATGGGGAGGAGGTGGGGTGGGTTAGGAATTTGAAGATGGTAGTGCAAAATTTGAAAAGTATCAAATCTGAAGGTGAATTTTTATAAGAGTTGTGTAGTGGAGATTAACATGGAGGAGAGTGAGAAGAGAGAAAGGGCTGAAATTTTGGGGTGTGAGGTTTCTCAATGGCCATTGAAGTATTTGGGGTTGCCTCTTGGGGACAACTTGGGGAATGATAGATTTTGGAGCCCAGTAGTTGACAGATTCACTAAAAGGCTGGTTTCTTGGAAGAAGAATTACTTATCCTTGGGGGGCAGAATCACTTTGATTCAGTCCACTTTGGCTAGCTTGCTAGTGTACTCTTTATCTGTTTTAAGGATCCCTGAGGGTGTAAGTAAAAGGTTTGAGAAGATGATGAGGGATTTCTTATGGGACCCAGGGGAGGACAAGAAAGACCATAGGGTGAAGTGGGAGATCGTCTCCAGAAGTAGGGAGAAGGTGGTTTGGAGCTAGGAAACATTAGGAACAGAAATGAAGCTCTTTTGGGGAAGTGGTTATGGAGGTTAACAGGGGACAAAAATAAGTTGTGGGCTATGGTGATTCTGAGTATACATGGGCTTGCTGATGATGGGTGGGACTTTGGACTGGTGGCAAGGACTACTAGAACTTCCGCCCGGAAGTCCATACATGCCATTCTCCCTTCGTTCTTGCAACACATCAAGTATGACCTTTGCTCTGGCAACCAGGTGAAGTTCTTGGAAAACCTTTGGGTGGGAGAAGTTCCATTGAAAGATACGTTTCCATCCTTATTCTCCATCTCTCAGTTTAAAGGGGAACTTGTGTCTTCTTTTTTGGTCCCTTCTGAGTCTACTTTTGGGTTTGATTTGGGTTTGGGTTTTAGAAGAGGTCTTAGGGAATGATGCTATGGAGTTAGTCCAGATTTTGAATGGGGTGGTTCTAGACCCATCAAAAAGGGATAATAGGATTTGGACCTTAAACCCCTTTGGTTTCTTTTCCTGTGCCTCATTTTTAATCATTGGTGTACTCTGCTAATAGTAGCCTCTAGAATTTTCCTGTGAAGGAAGTTTGGGGTAAACCGATCCCTCCGAGGATTGGAGCTTTTTGTTGGGAAGCCTTCTTGGAAAGATGTAATAATGTGATATTCTCCAAAGGAAAAGGCCTAATAAGTGCTTGTCTTCTCATTGGTGCATCTTGTGCAAGGTTAATGGTGAAAGCCCCTACCACCTACTGGTTTCGTGCCCTTTCAGTTCTGCTATTTGGATTTGCTTTATGGATTTATTTGGTTGCATGTGGTCCTCTCCCTCAAGCATACAAGGTTTGTTTGCTGCTTCTTTCTTTAGGTGGCCGAAAAAAAGAGGTAAAATCATGTGGAGATGTTTGAAAGCTGCCATATGCTGGACACTGTGGGAAGAAAGGAATCAAAGAACCTTCTCTGAGAAAGAAGGAAAGAAAGAAAGTTGCCTCCTTTGTGCTGGACACTGTGTTTGAAAGCTGCCATAAGCTGCCATATGTTGGACACTTTGGAGATGTTTGTTGATGTCTCTACGAGTATGCTGTTGAACAGTTGGAAGGAAGTTGCCTCCTTTGTGCTGACTAGATCTTTGGTGTGTCCCGTGTGGTCTCCCCCATCCCCGGGGTTCTTGAAGTTAAACTTTGATGGGAACAGTGAAGGCAACCTAGGTCCATCAAGTGTTGGGGGTGTAATCAGAGATGAAAGTGGGAAGGTGGTTGCTATATATTCTGGTCCCATTGGGTTGGGGGGACTCTCTGAGAGCTGAAATGTTTGCTTTGTTAGTAGGACTAAGGAAAGCGAAGGAGTTGAACATCCAAAAATTGATTATTGAAGGAGACTCACGGCTAGTGTTAAATTGGTTGAGGAAAGGTAATGGATTTTGGATCTATGCAAATGAGAGAAGAGAGGTTATGTGGCTGTTGAGGGGAATGGACACCCAGGTTCTTTGGGTGAAAAGAACCACAAATACCTTTGCTGATTTCTTGGAAAAACAGGGTGTGGGTAGGGGTCAATTGTTTTGGGCTATTCTGTAATGTTCTTGTAATATGGGGGAGAGTTAAGTCTTTTTATCTCTCCGTTAAGCTTGTTTGTATTCTTGATTTCTCTTAATAATATTGAATTATGTTATTGATAAAAAAAATCATTACAACTTTATTTTATTTTTGGTTTTGATATGACCCAGAAATTTGACACGTAGTTCACAGACTTACAACAGTATTCATACACTTGAACATCAACAAAAGAGACTAGTATTCATTCAGCAGAAAACATTAACAGTTGGTCGGTTCTTCGAGAGACCGCAGGCTCTCCCAAACACTCACAATATTCTTTACTCAAAGAAAAACATGCCACCCCCTATCCCCCAAAGCCCCTTCTTATACTCTTCTGATAGCATAACTGACTCCCTCTATAAATGCCCAGCTGGCCTAGTTATAAATGCCCCAAAACTCTTATTTTTTCATAACTGACATAGAAAAACAGGAATTCTTTATGTAATTTGTTATATTTAGATAGCAAGAGCATATAGAAATATTGAATCCTATATATCAACACTAAACTCATAAATGGGGAGGATGAAATGATGACACTACATTCTGTTAGTTTTCATTGGATGTTCCAAAATCTAGTTATGGTAAGTACTAGAGGTCCTTGATGCTGTATTTGGGATTAATGAGATTCAGCCTTGTAGGAAATTTATGGGATTCCTATTTATTAAGTCCTCTTGATTAAAGGAGTAGCTGAATAATTCACAGTTTCTTTCTGATTATTTCCCATCAAAATTGTTTTGTTAGAAGGAGATCTTTCAAGTTTAAAGCATAATACACCATGTAGCCTTTCCGGATAGCAATTATAAGCATCATTCTACCTGATTGCCTTCTCTTGCATTTGTTTTTCATCAATTTCAGGCCTTAAAATGACTAGAATGCATAATTGGGTTAAACCATGACTCAATAAATTGCTTCATTAGCATGTATAACCAGATCTTATGTTCTTTAGGCTCAGTTTGGAAAGAATACAAATACAAATATGTAGAGTGCAAAACCTTGTATTTTGTATTATTTTGTATATATTTGCAATGTACATATTTGTATTTGTACTCTTGCCAAACTAAGCCTTAAGGATTAACTTGCCAATATATTATGCTTTTATGTACTATTAGACATACAGACAATAATGTATATTTGCCAATATATATTTGCACTGTACATATTTGTATTTGTATTTGTACATATTTGTCTTGGATATAAGACGTGCAGACAATAATGGTATTTCTCTGTCTCCTTTGGTCATGATTGCAGTCCATCAAACCAGGACTAACAGTGCAAGTTGAACCTATCATTGATCCATATGGGCCATCAATTGTTGATGATAACTTGGATGCCATTATTGTCAGGTACATATACAATATTTATGCATAATGAATGTGGCTTTTTGTTGTGTCTAAGTATCCTGTAAACTCAACATTTTATTTACTAGGTTATACGTAAATTTTATATGCCCAATATGAAGCAGAAATTTACTTGCATTTGTATTACAATTTTGATAATTTTTCATTCGTTTTATCATTATTGTGCTTTTGATGTCAAGCACAATGTTCTTGCAGTGTGTACTTGTAGTTGTCAAAGTGCCTAGAAGAGTCCATCTGGTAGTCTTGGCTGGTCATGTAGGTGATTTCCTAGTAACATGGGAAGCTAATGATAAAATATCTATTTAGTGGTTTCTCTCATTATCTAACCGAGACTAAATCAATAAATATGTAATACTAATATATACTAAATGTATATTTCTCATTAGGGTGATCATGGGCTGGGTCAAGCTGGGCCCTTTGCAGGCTTAAGGGCTATAGCCCAGGCCCAGCCCAGCATGAACTCTGGGCCTGAAAGGGCTTTGGGCCATGTCCCTATATGCATTATATTTAATATATAATATTTTATACTATATGATATATTATATCTAATATATTACCTGCCATTTTATAATTTTTATATAGAATGTAGTCATAAAATATAAAATAAAACATACATTTTATGCATATATAAATTATATATGTAATGTATTTATATATTGCAGTCCAGGCTGGCCTGAACACAAAATTCGTGCATAGGCCTGGAAATTTGTGGGCTAGGCAGCCTAGGTTAGGCCAGGCCAGGCTGGAAATGATCACTATTTCTCATGCTTAAAAAAAGCATATATTTTCATATTATTGATAATGTCTAGAACTTAGGGTCCGATTGGTTCACAAGAACAGGGGTCTGGAATCGGAATCAGAGTGGTCCATGCCAATTCCAACCATTTGAGGGAGTGACCATTCTCTGCCCCTTCCATGGGAATGGAACTCCATTCCAGATGATTCCGATTTTGATTCCAATTCCCATCTCAACCAAACAGGTAGAGGGAATAGACCATTCCGATTCCAATTCCAACTGCAAACTGAAGAGACCCTTACAAGAATGAAGAAGCAAAAACACATGCACACATGACACAAATGAAAAATGGCTTTCAATCTACACATTATATTTAATATATAACATCTTATATTATATGACATGTGATAAAAGTATAAAATATATTATAACTTATATAAATATAAAATATTATATATAAAGGCCTGTTTAGTTTGCAGAATAGGGGTCTGGAATCGGAATCAGAATGGGTCGTTCTGATTCCAACTGTTTGGTTGGGCAGAATCGGAATCCCATTCCCATTCCTGCTGGAATGGCATTCTCCATTTGAGGGAATGACAATTCCCTTCCCCTCCCTTTGGAATGAAATCCCATTCCAGCTTATATTCCAATTCTGATTCCAATTCCTGTCTGAACCAAACAGACTATGGGAATAGACTCTTCTGATTTCAATTCTAAAAAATCTGGTTCTGACTGACCCAAATGGACCCTAATATATTATCTGCCATTTAATAATTTTTATAAAGAATATAATCATAAAATATAAAATAAAACATACATATATGCATGTATAAATTATATCTGTAATGTATTCACATATTGCAGCTCAGGCCTGGCCTGTGCTGGGCCTGAACACAAAATCCATGAACAGGCCAGGAAATTTGTGGGCTAGGCTAGGCCAGGCAGGAAATGATGACCCATATTTCTCGTGCTTACCAAAAAACATATGCTTCATATTATTGATAATGGCAAGTATAGTTTTCAAGGCGTCTAGGCAATTCTGGGCGACACTTGGGCGCCTAGTCGCCTACGTGATAAAAATTTTATAATATAAAAAACTAACTGTTGGATACCATTCAGCATGTATATTAATTGAAAAAATAGCAATTCTCTTTAGTAAGAACATTAAATTTCCTCTAAAAATGTGGAAAATTGATAAAAAACTTTTACATATATTAATTTCATTATTTTCAAAAATGATACTACTATAATAAGTATTAAACAGAGCAATTTCATATCAATTAGCAGCTAAAGAAGGTTATAAACTTTATATGATAAATATTCAAGAAATAATAGAATTATAAAGAGGTTAATTTTTTCCTATTCTCTCCTTAAAACCGTTTGATCTTTTAAATTTCAGTAGTAAAACATTAAAACAAAGTATAGTTGATATATATATATATAGCATACAATAAAATCTTTTAACACATACATTAATAAGATACAACAATATAAATGATATTATAAAAGGTACCCACCTTGTCATTTTTGTTGCCTAGGCAGGCGCTTAGTTGCTAAAAGTCAAGGCGATTGGGCGAGGCACCCAGCCAAGGGCACCTAGTCGCCTAGGCGATGCCTTTCAATCTACATATGTAATCCATACATCTTGTTCAATAGGTCCACAGAAAAACAAAGAAAGGTGATGGAAAGAAAAGCACAATCAGCTACATAGGAAGGTCTATTCAATAATGTACATCGCATTTATTTATTTACTTAGATTCCGTTTAAACAAAGATGTTTTCATATTTTCATTATTAGATTTCATACATGGATAACATGATTGAGATGATCACAAAGGACCTTGAGATAGATTGCAGACCATAGGAAAATTTCTATTCAGTGATATATTCTTTTGATTGGTAACAGACAACCTTCATTAATTTAGAAATTAAATTAACAGTTCACAGCTCTTAACCAGAGCCAAATCCCACAATCATCTTATTAAGTACATGTTAGCGGTTAGCCCAAAAAATTGCTTCCTCAACACCCCTTGCTTAGCTAAGGTATCTTCTGATCTGTTAACTCACTTAAATGTAGTGTTGACCTCTCTTTCTGGCTTCTTGATTTCTCCCATTACATGCCTATACACCCATGAACCCTCATTGTTATTGATCTAACCCACTACCAACATGGAATTTCCTTCCCTACTGTTATTGATCTAACCAGTATATGGTATTGTATCCGGCAAGTATCAGACCGGTGCAGTAGGCATGTATATGGTATTATATGCAACACTACATTGGCATTCCTTGATGTTTTCTAATTTCTATTGTGCAAATTTTCATGGTAATATGGCCATGCAGTAAAGAAACTCTGGGTGGTGGAATCTCTGTCAACAAGCGGAGAGCTGAGAGAGGTCTGCCACAATTGAAGGTGTAGTTTCCAGTTGTCATTAACTTCAAATATTTTCACCGTCCAAGTTTTTTTTATTTATTTTCATAACCACTTGTATACTATTTTTATTATTGGGTACCAGTATTGGGAAAGGAAAAAGTAGTAACGAGTTACCTGTGGAACTGAATTTGATTGGTTAGATCCATCCATTTATTTCTGAATTTTATCGCACAGATTGAGGTGGTGGATCTTTTGCCTGAGGAAAGGAGTGGTGAGAAGCTCAGTTCAAGTGCATTGAGGAGACTTGAGGCTGAGAAAACCAAGCAGAACAAGGAGCACTCAGAGGAAAAAAGCAGCTAATGTTGTGTGAACGAATCCCGGGGTGAACAGAACAATATAGCAGGGAAAATATGGCAGAATCAACGAGTTAACATTGGCAGCAGCAGGGTCAATGTTAAACAATTGACACGTATAGTAGCAACATCAGAAAAAATAACATTCTGACTGCATGCAGTTGGGTTTTGGGATGGCTCAGTTGAAGGAGTACAAATATAAATATGTTGAGTACAAAATCTTATATTTTGTATGTATTTGTACTGTATATTTTTGTATTTATACTCCTTCCAAACTGAGCCGAAAGAACAAAAATGAGGTGCAATCTGCACTTCAAGAATATAGTTGCAGTTGCACCAAACAGAGAACGAGGAAGAATATGATCCATGATAATTTGACATTTTTTGTTGTTTTTTCTTTCCTGTAAAAGTTGTTTGGGTGATGTTATTCTTTTTAGATGCTTGGAAAATTTGTGTTTCATTACCATGCTATATGGAGTTAAGTGATTATTGACTTGCGCATTTCTTGTTTGTTGGAGTAGGGTTGGTCTCTTCTTCAATGCTTAATTGGCTGTTGTCCCCCTTACCCTCTAAAAGGCTGATTTCGTATGTCCAGAGCTTTTTCAGTTGTATGGTTTTGGTATGGTTGGTCATTGCAGTGAGTGTGGATGTTTTCTTAAATTTCTCAAACAAGGTTTTAAGTAATTACCAATTTATCAAACCATTTTTTCCCCCTGAGCCCCTGTTTGGTATTGCTTATTTTAAGCACTTATTTTATAAGCACTTAAAATAAATGATGGAACTATACAACAAGTGAAAAATAAACACTTATTAGTGTTCGACAAAAGAGGGAATAAGTGCTTATTTTCAAAATGAGTACTCGCTTAATAAGCACTTATTCCAATTTTTTGGGACAAAATTGTTCCCATTGTTTTCTCAAAATCTCGTGTCTTGTCCATTTGAGCTCCAATATGACCAACGGTGCTGATAGGTGACTCTAGGCTGAGAAATCATTCCAAGTAGATGAATCTCCTTTTTTTTCATTTTGTATTCTGTTTTGGTAGCTTTTCATGGATATAATTGTCATTTTACAAATACAAGGATTCGTTGGTTAAGCATCTCATCAAATGCTAACCTAAACAAATACTTAAAACAAGTGTAAGTAGTTTGAGAAATGACATTCTAAACGGTAATAATTGTTCAAAATGTTTAATGTGCAGCCTGAGTCAATGATCAGGTTGGACTTTTTTTATTAAACCCCGGGTTTTAAGAAAAACTGAAAAACTTGACATGGAATCATGGCTGAGCAGCGGTTTGAAAATATAAATCCAGATCTATCCACAATAATCCTACCCACATCTGCTCACATCTTCCCTATTTACATGTTACTATTCATGGGAAGATGTTTTCAATGTACAGCTGTAGTGTCGTGAGTAGGATTCTTGTGGGTAGAAGATTTGGATTAAGCAATGTTTTGGATCTCCTCTGCCCACAAGGAGATGTTTCTAATGTACAATTGTAGTGTCCTGTCGGTAGGTGTGGATAGGATCCGTGTGGGCAAGTGATCCAAAACATTGCCAAATACCGTTGGGCAAGGGGATAAATAATACACGATACCTTGCTTTTAAGTTATTACAAGCTGCACAAAAATGCAGTGTTTTCAACAATCCCCGTTCGGGTTAACCCCTAACCTGTTATATTACAAACAGCTGTTGACTCTAACCTGTTGACCTAATTGGTTGAACCATTGGCTCGTATGATCTGCTCACTGGGTAACCGGTTTTCTGTATTATTTTAAGTTATTTTGCAATTTTTTATAATGATGGCATAAAAAATTAATTAATTGATATCGATGGTTGAACCACTGACCCAACCCGGAAGGGCAAACAGTTCAAGTTTAGAATGAAAAAAGAACGGTTTCCTTAAAAAATGGTATTGAACAGGAAAAGAAACCATTTTTTCTCCAAATTTTCTCTTAACTTGGAAATGAACCTGAATGGTTTAAGTAATTCCATTGTGAATGAAAAATTACTAGGAATGCCAATTTCCTAAAACTATAAATCACATTTTGGAAATCTTTGTTCTTTGTTTTCTGCAGCCATTTTACATACATAGAATGAAACATCGTAAAATAGTCATTTTTGAAAAATTCATTTTCCTTCATTTAGGTGCAGCCACCAAACAAAACCTCGGTGTAAAAGGGGTTGAAACCAAAGAATTCACTGAAGCAAGGGCACAGATAGAACTGAACATTTCATATTGGAGCTATTTTACGCCCCTTTTAAAAACAAATGGAGCTTTAAGAGTAAGAGTAAATCAAGATCTGAAGTCTCGATGTGTAACACCTCTGATATATGATGTGTTGTGTCCATTTTCACAAACTGGTAGGAGGTACGGATGGAATGGAGTTTGTCTTAATGTTTTAAAAACGGACCTGGAACTGGAACCACTCTGGCCACCGGTTTTCAAGTCAACGGTTCGACCATCCAAATCGAATGAATGGCTTGTTCTGAAAAATTAAAAATAATTAAAACAAAAAACAGTCAAAAACTGTTGAATGGGAAAATGGTTTAACGGTTTGGCCACCTGAATTAATGGGTCATTGACCAATTCAATGATTTTTGGCTAAGAATCGGGTTTGGGGTAAAACGGAACCGATTACTTGAACAATTCCCAAGCCGAATGGTCTGACCATCCAAATCAACGGTGGTTTGAAAACATTGGTTGGTCTCATATATTTTATACTAGTCAATCAATATAAACAATACAGGTCAACACAACCAATGTGCTGGCGGAATGATTGTGTTTGTTGTATTCACTTTCACAGTACATTTTTCTCACTTTCAAGCTTTCCATTTTCATTGTAGATGCTTGTGGAAGAATTTCTATCTACAAAAGCACTAGAAGCCTTGTATTAAAAAAATGAAAATAAAAAAGCTGATTGGAATCAAGAATAAGAGGAAGTTTTTTTTTTTTTATTTAATACTTCAATAATAGATTTAGCTATTTTTATGTTTGAAGTGCAATAATATATTGATCTTTGGATTTTCCCAAAAAATTGGAGAAATCCAAATTTGATTAAAATAAAAAAAAAAACTACTTTAAATGGTTTTCAATGGTAAAACAGAACTATCAGATGGATGTATGAATGACCTATCAAATTAATTTATCCATCAACAAATTATGTTCCATAATAATTGCATATAATATGCATTAGAAATTCTAATGATCTCATATTTTTTATGCTATGATTGTATATTTCTATAAATTATGTATTAACAATTTGATTTACAATAAATAAGTAGATAGCATCATATTGATTATTAATAGAAATAAAAATATTATTTACAAAATTGACTTAATTTTATATTGGTAATTTTTACGAAGCTATGTCCATTGACTTGATTCCTATCAGCTACTTTTCCATGTGTATTCCCTAACATGAGAGACAAACTCGGGACAAGAAGATCAACTACATACATTCTAACATAGACACTAGGCATCTTCGTTAGCTATTCTTGGAATATACACTTATTACTTTGTAATAATATATACAATGTTTAAAGTATCGGAAACGCTAAGTATATTGGAAAGATAAATTTAAGAGACATATTTAGATATGCCTTAGATACGCATGGATACAAACGAAAAATTAAGATATGCATGGAAACACATGGAAACACTATAGATACTCTAATAAATCATAAAAATACATCAATAGCATCAAATATAAGGCCTAAATGAGCTATTTATACATGAAAAATCACATCTTTTTGTGATTTTTATGAACAAAATATATCATAATCATCATATGAAAACATAAGGGTATTCTCTAATAAGAATATAACTATAAAATATAAGCCTAATAATTATTTAAGGAAACATTTTCTGTAAGTTTTTAAACAATTATTTATTTCCTATTCAAATAATTACTTTATTAAAAATACTTTACTCAAATTATTTTAGAGTTTGAAAGTATTATAACTCTTGTAAGTACAATTAAGAAATAACAACTAGAAGATAATGATAAGAATAGAGAGATAAACATGTAAATTGAAACTAGAATTCTAAAGAGACCCAAATATAACAGTCCATACAAAGTGGAAAGTGCGACGTGGCCTAATACCCCCGTTGTTAGATAGTTATGCCCTTAGCTCCAATCAGATTGATGTACTTATTGACATTTATTGTAAATGAATAAAGTGCATAATTGATTCATGTTATTTTGGTGTGTTTCTGTGTAATACCCTTAAACTGAACACTTATGGGATTCGTGTTAGTTTAGAATTTTCACAGTCGACGGATATTCTGCCAAGACTGACACTAATGTGCTGCTAAGAAGGTTGGTGTGGCTGGTCTCAAGCTACCAGGATAAGACCCAAAGCACATGTAGTGTGAGTTTGCTTGAAACTCTGAAACCAGACCAAATTCCAGTATTGCTTTGGATCTTAGAGACAAATGGGCAAAACTGGAATGTTACACCTGACCCTTAGACTCAATTATGGTACTGCACTAGGTGTCGGATTGGGCTGTCTTTGATATGTCAATCAATGAAATCCTTAACCGGGTCAAAACCCAGGTATGTTGGAGCAGTTCGAGAATTCACCTAAGTGGGTGATCATAGTGATAGGATTAGCCCCTTTATCGGACAAAGTGAATGATCGGGGAATGCACTCTCTCTGATGGAAACCTAAACTGCTGACAATTGATTTCAAATTGTTGAGATTTGTTTTGCATATATATTATGGTTTCACAAAATGTATGTAAAAGGTTTTAATTCTCAGGATCCATGTGAGTAGATAGTGCAACACTGTACCTTGTAACCGAGGGAGAGATCCTCTCTTGCCGGGCAGTGTTTGATCATTATGGGCTGAGAGGTTAAGTGTAAGACCATTGATGGTAATACCTGATGGGTTAATCTTGCATCTGCCCATAGTCTTTGGGCTTTCATAAGGTGGCTGGACCCAATGACCATTTAGTGTAAATGTTGGGCCCATTAAGAGCTCATACTGATGGACTCAGGGGTCACTATGTTTTGTAGTGAATTCGGCCAGGCCTTGTAACAGAGGTTAGACTGAACCCATGTGGCCGATGTGTAGATCAATGCTAGGGTCTCACGCCATACAAAGAGAGCTAAGCTAGCCAACATTTAAAGGAAAAGTGAGCTATGTGACTAAATGGGCCTAAAGCCCATTTCTGGTTTATAATCTGATTAGGATTAGCTAAAGGATAAGATAAGTCTTATCCATTTAATAGTCCAGATCCAAATATCAGATTTGGATCAAGAAACTCTTTCCTAATTGGATTAGGAAACTGATCCAAAGAAGGTTATAAATAGGGGGTGAATTCGCCAGTTTCAAACACTTAGCAATTTGCAGAATTCTCCTCCAATTCTTGCCGCCCCTACCTAGTTCGATTTCCACCTTTGGATCTGACCAAGAATAGTTCTTGATATTGTTTCTTTATAGAAGAAACAATCTAAAGTCGTGCTCACCAACCCCTTGTGTGATTCTTGCTGAAGA